ATTCTTGTAGAAGTCCTCTGAGAAGTCATCTCAGAGGACTTAACAAAACCATTGAAATCACCAACACAGGTCAGAGAATCAACAGTTAAAACACATGAAAAATATAAAGCACACACAGAAAAAAAATGCTCCATACATGTTGTAGAATGCTAAAGTGTCCTGGATCATCACCAATCCTTTCTGTTGGACACTAACTGTCCAACAGTTAGTTGGACTGTCCCTCCTGCATCGACAAGGAAAAACTCTTAAAAACCCAGTGGGAAAAAGTGAGAAACCTTGGGGAGAACTAGGGAAACCCACAGGGAGGGAGACTCTTTTGAGAAAGGGATCCGCTCCTCCGGACGGACAGGCTAATGATCCAGGACCTAAGCTAGCTACAGAACGTGGACCAGTGGCCGCTGAACGTGGACAGGTCCGGTGCAGGACTGAAGCACTCCCAGGCGGGTCGGGCAGGGCAGTCCGCAGGTGTAGGTGGAGGAGGCCAGGCTCAGAGATCCCGTCATCGTACCATGAAACAGACAATGGGACAACGGGTGAATAGCAATGAACAAACTACAGTCAAAATCCTAATAATGCTAAACAGGTAAAGTAGGAAGGAGGAGAGGATAGTGCTCAAGTTACCATACTTCTCCCAGCAAACTGACTCCCTATGCAGCTTGACTGACAGTCTGAGGAGTTTAGCCTTCCCTGAGTCTTACCTCCCTACTGTAGCCATATGCTAAACTAAAGAGGACTGTTTTAAACCTAGCCTTGAATAAAGAGAGCGTATCTGAACGGAGGTGAGACAGCAACAGCAGCCACGGCTAGGCTAGCCTAGGCTACAGCACCAAGATTCATGGATTGCACACCAGGTGTGCAAACCGATCCAGGCAAACCTAATTATAAATTATATATCATATATATCATATATACCATACACAATATATATTTTATATATGATGCATAACATAACATACAGCATAATATATAACATAATATACAACATAACACAAAACACAACATAATACATAAATTGTATAATACATAACATATAACATAATACAGCATATATATAATATATACACCATATATTATATATTACCTAATCATATGCTAAATAAAAGTAGAGTGCTTTAAGCCTGGCCTTGAATGTGGAGACCGTATCTGCTTCCTTAACATAAATGGGAAGCTGATTCCACAGTAAAGGAGCTTGGTAGCTAAATGCTCTGCCACCAAGTGATTTTTGAGACCTTAGGAACCACCAGACGTCTGGCGTTTTGTGAGCGCAACGCTCGACTTGGTTGATATGACACTAACGTGTCTTGGAGATAGGAAGGAGCCAAATGGCTTTATATGTTAACCCTCTAGGCGCCACGGTCGACTTAAGTCAACAAGCTGTGGTACTGTTAAAAACGGCCGAGTGTGTCCAACTGAGTGTCAAAATTCATTCATACTCCCTGCCACTAGTTGGCAGACATGCCAGCATATCTCCCTGGCCCCAAAAAACGTCATGCTCCCATACAAAATATTCGAGCAAGACCGCGTTGAACCAGTGCGGAAATCATAGTGAAGCGAATGCAGCTGCGGGGCAGCCTGCCAGTGTTATACCGCACCAAACACTAACTTTAGACACTTTGCACAGGGTCTGCAGTGGGAACAGTGTTTCTCAGAGTAAGGCCAAGTCATTGGGAGGTTCGGAGACAGGTTAGATTTACGGAAAACAAGCCTGGAACTCGCGTTGGGGCGCCGCGCCGCGACCTCCAGCCTCCGCTGAAGTTTCCGCCAAAGTCTCCGCTAAAAGTGCTTCCCACATATTTATTTTCATGCGTCCCGTAATCACCGGGACAGTAACGTGTTGGAGAAGCCTTGTCTTGTGTGTGTTAGATGAGAGAGAGATCAGGGGAGATGAGAGAGAGAGCAGGGGAGACAGCTGCAGCAGGAGAGTCGCGGTGACGCGCTTCACCTGGAGGCGCGCGTCTGGGCAGACTGCTCACAGCAGCAGCATGATTTGTAATTTTTACTATTTTCATGAACATTTACAATGTTACAGTGTGTGTTCTGTGTGTGTTCATGTATTAGTGATCAATATATGTCTGTCAGTTAGAAATAGTGGATTTTAGAATTTTCATACAATATTTGTATTTTTCTAACGCCAAATGACGTCATAATATGCAAATTAGATGGGGGGATTTATTCTCTACATACACTTTGGACCATCCTTAGTATTTTTCTAATTTACAGAAAGCCTTTATCTCATCACTTTTAAGTTATAGCCTTTTGAAATTAAGAAGTCAAAATCGAGTGTTTTGGAAAAAAACCTCTGGCGCTTAAAGGGTTAAGAGAAAGATTTTAAACTTTATTCTGTACTCCACAGGGAGCCAGTGGAGTGATTTTAACACCGGAGTTATGTGCTCCCTCCTTTTGGTACCTGTTTAGATCCTTGCTGCTGTATTCTGAACGAGCTGGAAGCTCTTCAAAGAGGTTTTAGGGCATGCTGCCAATAAAGCGTTACAGTAGTCAAGTCTTGAGGTGACAAAAGCGTGAATACGTTTTTCCGCGTCACTTTTAGGAAGGAAATTCCTGATTTTAGCGATGTTCTGTAAGTGGAAGTACGCCGTTTTAGTTACTTGGCTTATATAAGCCTTGAAGGAGAGTTCTTGGTCGAAAATGACTCCAAGATTCCTCACAGTGTTACTGGGTATAATACTGACATCATCGAGAGTGATTATCTGGTCAGTAAGGGAGCCACGCAGGCGCTTCGGACCGAGTAGGATCACTTCTGTCTTCTCCGGGTTGAGAAGTAGGAGGTTAAGAGTCATCCACGTTTTAAGGTCCTTTATGCAGGCACTAAGCTTTTCCAGCTGATCCGTCTGATTTGGCTTCTTCGACAGATAAAGCTGTGTGTCATCTGCATTGCAGTGGAAATTAAGTCCATGCTTTTTAATAATGTTTCCTAACGGCAGCATGTAGAGAGTGAAAAGAATTGGTCCGAGTACCGAACCCTGCGGCACACCGAATTCCACTCCAGAAGAAGGCGACGAGTTCTGATTTACATTGACGAAGTGATACCGATCTGATAAATAGCATTTAAACCAGCCAAGGGCTGTTCCTCTAAGACCTATATCACATTCTAGCCTCTGCAGTAGAATGCTGTGGTCTATTGTGTCAAATGCAGCACTAAGGTCCAGTAGGACCAGCACTGACACTTGTCCATTATCAGCAGCTAGTAGTAAGTCATTTGTGATTTTGACTTGTGCCGTTTCAGTGCTATGATGAGCTCTGAATCCTGATTGAAAGACTTCAAACATATTATTTTCCTGCAGGTGGCAGCAAAGCTGCTCAGCTATAAGTTTTTCTAGGATTATAGATATGAAAGTGAGGTTCGAGATCAGTCTTTAGTTTGTGTTTCCGGATCCAGGTTTGTTTTCTTCAGAAGGGGTTTGATTACCGCGGTTTTAAAAGCTTGTGGGACATAGTCACATTGTGTGGATGCGTTTATTATATTTACGATAGGCTCAATTATCAAAGGAAGTATGTCTTTGAAGAGCCAAGTCGGGATTGGGTCTAACATGCAAGTTGAGGCTTTTGAGGATGTGACCACAGAGATCACTTCTGCTTGGCTCACAGCCATGAATTTATTGAGGCCCACTGAAGAGTCCAAGTGGGAAGTCACGTATGCCGCTTCAGCCTGTCCACTAACAACAGCAGGAGTAACCTCCTCCAGTTTGTCACGAATTGATGTCATTTTATTATTAAAGAAATGGAGAAAGTTGACACTGCTCAGTGAGCTTAGAATTTTAGGCTTGATTGCGCTATGGCAGTTTGTGAGTTTAGCGACGGTGCTAAACAAAAATCTATTTTCATTGGCTTCTATTAAAGTTGAATAGTATTGAGTTCGAGCCCTGCGAAGGGCATTCTTATAGTTTCGGAGACCTGCTTTCCACTCCCTGTGGACAGGCTCCGAGTGGGAGTGGCGATATAGCCTCTCCAATTTTCTGACGTCCTGTTTTAAAGTGTGGAGTTGAACACTGTACCAGGGCGACGATGATCTAATCCTAATAGTTTTCTGTTTTAAAGGAGCTGCTGCATTTAATGCAGATTTTAAAGACTCCATAGTGTTGTCCACCGTTTGGTCAATGACTGAGGTTCACCTGCAGCAGTTCACCTGCAGCAGTATTCAACATTGGCTGTATTAGATATTTGAACCTTTTGATGGATTTATCATTTAAGGTTCTTTTCATTATGGTTTTATCTTGCGGCGCAGGAAAGTCCTCCAAATCGAGATCAAACGTGATCAAGAAATGGTCAGACAGCAACGAGCTTTGACGTTGGACGTCAACATTGGAGACATCACAGCCGTAGGTCAGGACAAGGTCCAAGGTGTGGTTATGAATGTGAGTAGGTTCCTCAACATTCTGAGTAAAACCAACACCATCTAGTACGGAGCTGAAAGCTTTGTTTAAGCTGTCGGTGCTGTCGTCCACATGTATATTGAAGTCTCCAGTTATAACTATGTTTTCCCATTCCAAAACTAGGTTTGAAATGAAGTCAGAGAATTCTGTTAGGAACTCGCTGTAAGGACCTGTCGTTTTATAACGCTGTCGTTATAAAACTACTGTATAAACAATACTGCTTTTTGTTTTCTCTACCCAGGACAGGTGATTGAAAGTGTTTGCCCCCGGATTTATGGACGGGGGCAAACACAGTTTGCAGTTAAAAATATAGTTTAGACCCATTTGTAATAACTTATCAAAAGTGTTTTTTCATCCCTTCACTGGCGTTCCTACTGGGATTGGCACATAGTAGAAGCCAACATTTCAATTGATGCTGCGCATAAAAGCTCAGGCGGAGCTTTCCTAAAACATTGGAGGAGCGAGGAAATGGTGCTTCTAGCAGTTTTATTACACTGGAAAATTGTGCGTGAAATACAAAAACATTTCATACATACTTCCGGTTGGATGATTTAAATGGCATTTCTGTTATTCATTGCTGCCAAAGAACTAATGCTATGCTGTGTTTAG